GGATCCTTTAAAAGAGGCGTGAAGAAGCAACATGCAGGCCGGTAGGGTGAAGATGGCTGGTGTGGCAGGTAAAACTGCTGTATCAGCTATCGTCACGTCTGGACTTCACCTTCACTTAACATCAGGTGGGGTGGAGTCATTTGTCGGACCTATCTATAAAAAAAAAAAATCTAATGCCGTATAAATTGATCTAAGCATTTTAAATTATAATTAAGCATAAAAAGTAGCAGTCAATGAGAAAGCTCTTCTAACATGAGATTTTACAACGACTGGTACTTTTTACACTTGTTATCATTACCTATCTTATTTTTTTTTCTTGCACCCCACGTTTTTCGTTATACTTTTTAGTCCGTTTTAAAAACGTGGTAAGTATATTAACAAAAAAACAGCTTTTTAGTCCTAAAAAATGTGTATTTTTTTTAAACTTTCAAACAAACAAACAAGCAAACAAACAGACAGTAACCCGTTCAAAACAAAATCTCTCTCCTGCATAACTTAACACATCAAAAAAGCCCTTTTAGAATGTTGTTCACAAAATATTGATCTTACGTTAGCATGGATCCCAGGACATAGTGGAATTGTTGACAATGAAATTGCTGACACTTGGGCCAAAGACGCTACAAATTCGGGTAACCCTTCCCGTCTACAAAACTACTCTACAGATGTTCTTCAATTAGCTAAAACTGACCTTCAGTCTGAATGGGAGACGAGATGGAGCCGCAACTCCAAAATTATAGGCCGCCATTATGGCCGCCTCCAGGTAACAATACCAAGAAAACCGTGGTTCGCCAAATTTTGCGACCTTCCCCGACGAGTTATTACAACGATTAGTCGTCTCCGTCTTGGCCATGTTACTTCTCCAGTTTTTCTCGCAAAGATAAGAATTTTAGATAACTCTATCTGCGAATGCGGTCTTGAAGAAGGCACCACAGACCACATTTTCTTCCGCCCAAAAATCTCTACTTCCGCCCAAAACTCAGCGTCCCGTTAACCTTAACACTATTTTAACAGTTTCTGACAAGCCTGGCTTTTATTGTTTATGTAAATATATTAAAAAATATAATATAAAACTATAACGTTAGTATCCTCTCTAAATATAACTAAACTTTTTTTTTCTCTACCGATTAAATTGCCTGCACTTTATAATTTAATCCTGTGTTGTCTTTGCGTGCATGCTTTCAGAAGAACAATAATAAAAGCTCAAGGAAGAAGGGTTATTCGGATAAAATATTATTTTTTTATCTGGTAATTACCGAGCAATCTCTCCCTTACCGTGTCTCTCTCACTACGGGATATTGGCGAAATTTCTGTGTGAAACGGAAACAGCCACAGAACAAAAAAAAAAAAGAAAACAATGTAATATTGTATTGTCATCCACTTCTGACCTACAGTCAAAATTTCAAGTCTCTAGCTCATCGGGAAGTTAGTTTAAAATCAATTGAAAAATTTGTACCGAACAGACAAATAGACAAGAAAACAATCTAATATTGTATTGTCATCCACTTCTGGCCTACAGTCAAAATTTCAAGTCTCTAGCTCATCCGGAGATCATGAAGTTAGTTTAAAATCAATTGCCAGATTTGTACCGAACAGACAAACAGACAAGAAACGGACCTAATAAAAACGTGGTAATAAATAAAGATTAAGATACCTATAAAAACATCACATTCAGATATCAATTACTTCCTATAAACAAATCAAATAATCATATTAGGTACATACATATGTGTTTTGTTTTGACTCACCTTTTTCAAAGAAATTCCTGATATCCATTTGACGGAGTAAATCTTTCCAGTTGTTGCGCAGTAAACGTAAATCTCGTGTCGCCGCAACTAAACTATAAGACACTATTATGGCGCATTAAATATTCGCTCGTATTAAACTCCGAACTTAATTGTATTGTAGGTATTCGTAATTTCGAACTGAATTGCCTTGCTCTGCCTCACGATCGTGCTTATATATTCAAATATTCTCGCTCCCGAAATACGTAGAAAATACTCGACTCTGTTGCCATCCTTGTCTCATACTTGCTATCATTGTCTTTAATTTCCAGAATAGTCCATGCTAGAACGTTCTTCTTTACTGGAAAAAGCACTGTCGTGTGTCGTCGTCCGTAACTAGATAGCGCTAGCGCTAGACGTTGTTTTCTCCATATTATATTCGGCTTTAATCCTAGATGTCTCTGATTATCTCGTCGAGAGCGGAAACTACGAGATACGACGGTTTCGCTAATATATAAATTATATTGCGTCGCTATTATATAGAATGTTGTAGAATATTTAATTATAGGTAAAAAAAATTAAATCAAAATATCTGACTGAAAAGATGTTTTGTTTCCAACACTTCATTTTGCGCAGAGTAGGTAACACGTTTTTAATTCCCACTTGCCAGGAAAATTGACGTTTATTTTATCTACTAGGAGGGGGGGGGGAGGGGGGGCAGCTGCCCTGCCCCTGCCTGGGTACGCCCATGCACCATCCCACACTCTGAGTAGGAAAACCTATGGAGATGGCATACCTACGAAAAAAACGTGTATAGGTGAACGTGTAGAAACGAAACTTTCTAACGAAAATGGCCCATTTATATAGTGCTGCCCCAAGGCTGTCCAACTGTTTATCGATATTTTTATAAACAGAAGTAATTTTGTGACGACTTTATGTCAAAAGTACAATACACCTACCGTTAGTAAAAGGAACTAAGAGGTAAAAAATAAGTATTATTTTTTGAATAGGAAGGAGTGTTGGTATATTTTTTAATGCAATTATGATACTTTTAAGGACATCTTTTCGTTACAACTCAATGGCATTAAAAATATACTCCTATTGGAAAAAGAGTAGCTATTTATTACTATTTAGTTCATTTTATTAAAGGCGGTCGTGTTTTTTTTTATTGTATTAAGTATTTTAAGTGCCCCCTAAATTTTATATGTGCTTGAAGTAATCCAAGTATTTTCTGGTATTTATCATGTTTTACAGAAAAGTGTTATTGTACTTCAATAACACAAAGAGCTATTTACAATTCTTTTTATTTTATTTAAACAAATTTTAACATAGAAAAGGATGTAACATTATTTTCTGTCATCTTTGTTTAGATTTATCAGTATCTAATATCCAAATAATAAATAATAGTTTATATCTGAAATTAAAGACTGATCACTTTTTACTACATCGTGAATATAAAGTACCTATGTTCTTTAAAAGTTAAGTCACGTAAAACTATTATACATTGATATAGAATTCATGGATTATTCACAAACTACGTATAAAGAAGCCAAAATTTAAGGCGTTTATTGTATTGCTTGGTATATTCGTATAGTAAAACTAAGTACCGGTGTAACAATATGTTTGGTAGAATTTTGCTTTTATAATGCCGCAAGTTATAACACTGTATGGCATGCTCCTTGTACTTTTTTCACTTAATGCTAAACTATAGAAACGATAAATTCACAAATTAAAACACTTTTGGCATAAAACACTATAAATATAACAGACGTTGACAACCTATGTACATGCTCACAGTAGGAACTCGAAATGGCGACCGGCCGTAAATAGGCATTTCAGTGAAGTCTTTTTATAATGTCGCCGTTATTAGTTTAGGCAAATATAATGTTGTCTCTTTTTGCGTGTATTGTAGGTTAGATAAGCTGAGATGGCAATAAGTACAATGTCGATATCAATCATATATGTATAACAGATTGTTCATAGAGATACCACACTATGTACCTCTCTTTCTATAAAAAAAGAGAGAGTACGTTTATAGTGATCACTTCCTACAGGTATTAACTCCTTGGACATAACTCTATATTATTCATTTAGGCTGTATGAAGTTAGTTCGCTTTGTCTTCTCACTGAGCAAATCATGAAAACTAGGGATGTCGAAAGTAGAAAAAAATATCGATATATCGATAGATCGATATTTAAAAAAATATCAATATCGGCTTCGATATATCGATATATCGGACCAATTTTTCCAAAATTATATTTAGATCAGCCTAGCACAGTAATACAAATTATAATTAAAGAAAGAATTATCAAAGTACCAAATTGCCGTAACTACAGGACAGTACAGTATCTCACGAAAGATGACACGCGGAATAATAATGGAACGAAAACTATCTACCTAAAATAGACCCTATTTTCGAATGATGAAAATGAATGCAGGACCTCTCAGGTGCCATCTTTCGTAAACAAGACTGTCACACATTTCCACCGAATATAATGGAATTCAGCACAACCAATTCACCAGCGAAACAGATTTACAAATCATAGACAGTACTAAATACAGCACAGATCATAGATATGTTGTATATCTTTAATCTGAGATCCAGTTACGATTTTTCCAGATACGAATTTAGTTGGATCGTGATATGCCGCTAATATTTAAAAATATATCGATTTTGATACGAATTTCGATATTGGTTATTTTGTATCAATGTATCGATATATCAAATCAAAATCGATATTTTTTTAAATATTAGCGGCATATCACGATCCAACTAAATTCGTATCTGGAAAAACTGGCGACCAAAAAAAATACGATATATCGATACATCGATATATTTTCAACAAGCCTAATGCTAGCCTACACACTACGAGAAATCCTTACGATCAGACTGTACAGTTCGAACGGAGCAGTTTATTGGACGTGGCATAGGGTACGGCCAGAGTGCACTCAGATTCAGATTCAGACTCAAAAAATAAGCGCGAGAAATATACAGTGTAGTTTAAGCAGGTTGCCTGCTGCCACTATGGCCACCCTGCTTTAACTACACAGTTTATTTCACGCGCTTGTTTTCTGAGTCTGAATCTGAGTGCACTCTGGCCGTACCCATACGTATAGAATACTGTGCAGTTTTATAACATACACGCTACGATTTATCGGTACCGTTCGAGCTGTACAGTCTGATCGAAACGATTTCTCGTAGTGTGTTATGGCTGGTATTATGAAAACAACCAAAAAATTTTTATATGGCAATTTTTATATTGACATCACAGCTGTTCGTTTTGCCTGTGGTTCTACATAATTTAGAGAAAATTTGTAAGAACTAATCTAAAAGTGAGTTAAAATTCATATTAATTGTGCTTTCGTTCTTAAACTTTACTTTATAATTCAAAAAATTATTTTATTTCATCAGGTTTAGTGACACCTGTTCAGGTCTAAAGGACTGTCAAATCTCTTTTTAATCTTATTTTATTCTTGTGAAAATGAAGTGCAAATTGTGGTAGGATGGTATTTGCGTTTGTTATAGTTTGTCGTTGGATGTTCACAGGGACAGTCTTATGTAGACGACATTGTTTGAAAGAGCTGTGAACTTGAAGAAATACCTACTATGCCTCTTTTTGGTAAGTCTCAAAAAAGCCCAGCGGAGCTTGTGAGATCCTTAAAGGATGCCGTTACTGCCTTAGAGAGAGGCGATAAGAAAGCGGAGAAAGCCCAAGAGGATGTCAGTAAGAATTTGGTAAGAATTTTTTTGTGTCGTCATGTCAATGACTTGTTATCAATCAATTCTATGATAAAACATTTGTCAAGTTTGGAAATTTTATAACAAATTAAGTTAAATAAATAAGTGTTCTGATTTCTCAGGTGTTGATAAAAAACATGCTCTATGGTACATCCGATGCCGAGCCTCAAACAGACATCATAGTTGCACAGCTTGCTCAAGAGCTTTACAACACAAATCTCCTGCTTCTTTTGATTCAGGTAGTGTAATTTAGGGATAATAGTAATAGCTTTGTAAATTAAGATTTATTTATTTAATTATGATTTAATTAAGAAAACTTATAAAGGGAGTGGTTAATTTAACCATCACTTAAATAGATCTTGAAATTTATATTTTGTTGTACTCAAAGTGGAATAATATCAAATAATACTATTGCTACAAAATAGTGCAACGTTTAGGAATAAAATCCAATATAAGGTTGACACGGACAAGGTATTTGGCAAATAGCAATCATATAAATATTGTTACTTCTTGTTATATGAATTTGTTTTACTGTGGGTTTGTATAGAGTTACAATTATATATTAGAATAAAATTAATGTGAATAATGTGATGCTCTCGGCTTTCCTTTCAATTATGTTTATTGTAACATGTTTGAAAATGGCTAAGTATGATTGGCAGAGTTCATTTTGGCATCATAATATATCATGTCTTTGAGTTAGGATTAGCAGAGTCTGTGGCGGCAATTGTAATCAATCAAACATTGCTGATTATGGATTGATGTCACGCCAAAAAAAAATTGCTGACTGCATATTGAAAAATGTATTTGGATTTCTGATTTTATATTGAAATATGTAACATAAATAACCTGACCTGAAAATAAGTATTTCAAATGCTCTTTGAAAATTCACTAAAGCAAACTAAAGAAACTGCTATAAATAAAAGGTAACAGGATAAATCAAATGTTTAATTTGAACATCGGTTTATTCTCAATGAAAGAGTTGATCTGTTTCTTGAAGATAATATTAATAATAATTAAGAAATGGAAATAATCAGCATATTAAATTACTTCTTATTCTATTACCTGCATCTATAAAAGTTGTTTGAGAGGGTTCTGAAATTCAATCCAAATAGTGCCAATGTTTACGAAACTTTCCTGACCACCAGTTTGTTTTTTTAAAGGGCGGCAGATAAGTGTATGACCCACCTGACTACCAGAAGCCTCCATAGCCTATAGACGCTTGCAATACCAAATATATCACTCACACCATTGCCTGACCCAATCCAACAACCCATGGAGCCCTGGAACCTTACTCACCAACAGAAACATAACACCACCAAAAGGTTGTGTTATTTTACTGTGGTCTTCTGTAAGGTGGAGTTTGCTTCCCCAGACAGGTGCTCTAATTCGAGCAGAAAATCCAGTACGCCCTACCTCTTTATATTACTTCAGACTTGGTTTTTGCCAACCTGCCCATCTATAAATACAGGGTGTAAAAAATCCTTTAACAAAGTCGAAGGCCACGTATTTTCCACATCATGGCAATCATTTTTTTCTTCTGGACCATACCTGGGAAATTTATGGTTATGAAGATATTGAAGGTCAAAATCACATTTTTTTTTCAAGATTTATACATTAATATTTTCAAAACGTTATTTATAAACTTTTTTATCGACGTGTTTAGACACACGCACACACATACACACAGGAAATTCTTTGTGTAGCGCCACAGTAGCGCGACGCGCTGTACATTGCGTACTGGAAAAAAACAACTATTTTTTTACTTAAAAATACAAATGATTCCATGTATTATATTTTATAATATTACTTGTTTGGGTGTACAGAATGTTTAGTTTTATTCTTTGTCATAGGTTTTTTTACATCCTGTATAATAAAATGGCGGGAACGTACTAAGTCTAAAGTCAAAACTGTATATTCAATATTTTTTTTAAATAATAAATACTTGGGGTGTGATCTACAATCGATACCAAAGCCAAAAATATAGTTTCTAGAATTTTTGTCTATTTGCCTCTATGTATTTCTGGGATAAACTCAAAAAGTACTGCATTGATTTACTTCAAATTTGGCACGAATATTATTAAGAAGTTGGGTCAACATATTATCACGCTATCACCTACGGGGAACAAGCAGTGAACCTATATTTCTAACTAACTCCACGCGTACGAAGTGGCGGGCCGCCGCTATTAGGAAATATTCATCATTACTTTATTTCCACTGCCTAATCATACTAATAGAAGGGTCTTCTATTTTCACAGAATTTAAATAGAATTGATTTTGAAGGCAAAAAAGATGTTGCTCAGGTGTTCAACAATGTGCTGAGGCGCCAGATTGGCACAAGGTCCCCGACAGTGGAGTATATTTGCACTAAGCCTGAGATTCTTTTTACCTTGATGTCTGGGTAAATATAACTTCATATTTTTGTATTTTTTTTACAATACTTTATGTGATTTTGTGGTGAGGTGAATTGTTATTTACATATTACTTTTTTCACAGAAGGCCTCACAAATTACGAAACTGTATACCTTAAGTCTACTGATTTCAGCCTTATTTAATTTATTATATTATTTTCAGATATGAACATCAAGAAATTGCATCAAATTGTGGCACTATGCTTAGAGAGTGTGCCAGATATGAGGCTTTGGCTAAAATAATGTTATATTCAGATGACTTTTATAATTTTTTCCGTTATGTAGAAGTTTCCACTTTTGATATTGCCTCAGATGCCTTTTCTACTTTTAAGGTAAGTAATTGCATCTTAAATATAATTTGTAAAACATGTTTAAAATCACAGTTATGTAAGAGCAGTAGTAATGTTAAGAACATGATGTTGGGCTGGTGTTAGAATGAGTAAAATTTAAAAAAAAATCTAGTAGTCAAATGCATTTTATGTAGTTATGTTTTTTTGAAAATATGTGTTATTTTTCTTTTGATTGTTTAATGCTTATGAAAGTATCTCATTAGATATTGTAGTTACCTATGCTATGTGAAGAATAGAAGGCCTTGCCTAGCAGCCCAAGAAATAGTACAGAAGATAACTGATATGTCAGTGCATTTGTCCTGATAGAAAAGGCTGATTCCACCCACAAACCTAGATATCAGTAGATAACGCATTTGTGAACAACAACAAAGTGAAGCCAGTTAAAATTAAGCCTCGCCCTGTACGCACATAAAACATGCATACACATTAATGATGGGTAGAAGTTTTACCAAGTACTGAGTTTTAATCGGCGTAATGTTTTTTAAACTGAGTTCTAAGCGTTACAATGGTGTAAAGGGTCACCATATCTACTCGAGCCCTTTAGTATTCTTTCTATGAAACTCCCTACTGCAATGCCTCGGGATAAGCTCCCGAACGTGCGTGGTGAATTCTTCGTAGCCTATCTTACGTCCCTCCGTAGCCTAGTTTACGTCTATCTGTAGACTAGCTTACGTCTCTCCGTAGCCTAGATTACGTCTCTCCGTATCCTTGCTTTCGTTTCTCCGTACCCTAGCTTACCTCTCTTCGTGAACGCCCCGCCCGCGGCCTGCGTTGCCGAACACGCTGTCCATAGAGAAAGTGACCACTCCATTTCAAGTCAAAAGTCAAAATATCTTTATTCAAATTGGATGCAAAATACAACTCTTTTGAATCATTCATATTTTTCCCCCTACCACGTTTGGAAGTGCCGACTCATAAAGCGGAGTGACTAATTTCTCTATGACTGCTCTAACTGGTGCCGGCCAGATGTCAACCAGCAATCGGCGAGCCGTAGGCGCGGCGTCGCCTAGCCGTAGTCTATCCGAACGTACAAGAGTTGCTTATTCGCTTACGTTACATGTTTACATAAGGTGGACGCCTGTTTGACGGCAAGCCGGAAGGCGAGTCGATATCGATCCTTTTCCCAGTTGATATGTATGCTATATCGGTAACTTTGTTCAATCCAATCTTGTTTGGGACGCGAAAACAGGTTGAAAAGGGATCCGCGAGATGGTACCGATCCTATATATACTTTAGGATCAATATGTGAAATAATGTTTGTTGTCTAAAGATAGGAGACCTTTCGAATGGCGGGTAGGACATAAAATTAGATAACATGAGATGGCGCGTTTAGCACGAGTGTTTTTATGTGCTCATGAAAGCACTGTATATAGTTCTCGATTATTTTCATGAGCAGGTAATGTCTTTGATAAAAATAGGAAAAAGAGACAGAGAGACCTAAGCGTGTAGAGAAAGAGCCTTGTATTCTTGCAACACAATTTCCCGTAACTAAATTTCAAGTAGAAAAATTGTGATTACTTCTTACTACAATTTAAAATTAAGGAATGCTCTTTTTTTTAATACACACTCTACTGTTGTTTTCACTATATTTCCCAAAATATATTACTTTATCTATACCGAGTATGCTCGTGTAAATCATTATGATTTCAAGGCTTAGTTTCGTTGTACGTGTTTGTATTTTTGTGTACGTACGTAGTTTTAATCTGTTTCAATTTGTTGTTTGCTGAGTTGCATCTACACTTTTTTATTGATAATAAAATAGCGTTAAAGGAAGGATTTTGCTTACCCTTTTGGCACAAGCAGTACATACACTTGCGGTATCTATTTCGAACTTAGGCCCGTATTAATAGATCGCTCTCAACTCGGAGACTGCGATCTTGAGATACTAATATAGGTGGTTATGGGTAGTCATGCTCTCTTAAAAGTCTCTTCGGTGGTGTCGTGTGAGGCGGGTCGTTACGTTATGCTCGTGAACAGGTGCTGCCAGCGGAGATGAGTCTGCCCTAACTACTTTGATATTTAAGATGTCAATGGTGTCGATTCTGACATGTTTATCTAAACTTGAAACTAAATTTAACATCAGTGTCTCCTTTTCATTCTGTAAAGAGAATGAGAAGGATACAGAATCTACACCTATGTCTAGTTACACCTAATTTAAATAACACTATTGTATTTATACCGTATGACACAGCAATCAACACTACCGCTGCAGAGCAACATTTCCATGCTCGGTATGGAAGTTCGCTCAGACCTGAATCCAAAGAACTACATCGAAACCGTGATCAAAACAGCTTCACGCAAACTCGGAGTCCTGAACAAGGTGCGGCGTTTTTTCACGCCCGATCAACTGTGCTTGTTGTACAAAACGCAAGTGCGGTCCTGCGTGGAATATTGCTCGCACCTCTGGGATGGCTCCGCCAAGTACTTGCTCGATGCTTTGGATAGGTTACAGCGACGCGCGATCCGCATCATAGGCGATGAGGAGGTGACTAAACACCTTGAGCCTCTTCAATTACGCCGTGACGTGGCGTCACTAAGCGCGTTCTATCGTCTGTACCACGGCGAGTGTTCTGAGGAGTTATTCTCTCTTATCCCACCTTCTCCTTTCCTTCAGAGGACCACGCGCGCTGGCCTACGTTGTCATCGTCTAACTGTGGCCACAATTCCAACGCGTACAAAGAAATTTGGTGACTCATTTCTTTGTCGCACTATCCGTAAATGGAATGCTCTGCCCGCTCACGTGTTCCCTCCCTCTTACAACCTGGGATCCTTTAAAAGAGGCGTGAAGAAGCAACATGCAGGCCGGCAGGGTGAAGATGGCTGGTGTGGCAGGTAATACTGCTGTATCAGCTATCGTCACGTCTGGACTTCACCTTCACTTAACATCAGGTGGGGTGGAGTCATTTGTCGGACCTATCTATAAAAAAAAAAATAAAAAAAAAATCAAAATGCAGGTGAACAATGAATGTATAATTTCACATTTTGTAATGAAAGGTGACTTCATGAATCATCTCTAAAATCCATTTTTCAACTTGACGACCCTGTAAATAATAAAGCAGGGAGAAAAAAGCAACCTTTGCTGTGTTTCTTGCCGGTTCTTCTCAGTACAAGGTCTCCCGCCGTAGATTTACGAACCGATGGCGTAGCTTCTAGACATTCATGAGTGCTAGTAACAGCCTAAACTGAATAAATGATTTTGATTATGATTACTGATGGATATCACAGAGTTGAGAGCGATCTATTAATATGGGCCTTAGTGATTTTGGCCTTTACGTGTACTAAGTAGTTTAAAATAATTTAACAGTTAACCGCCTAATTAAAAATATGTTAACATTCGCAGGAATTGCTAACCCGACATAAAATGTTGTGTGCCGAGTTTCTAGAAGCAAATTATGACAAAGTATTCAGTCACTATCAACGGCTGCTCAACTCTGAGAACTACGTGACACGGCGGCAGAGCCTCAAGCTCCTCGGCGAACTGTTGTTGGACCGGCACAACTTTTCCATTATGACACGCTACATCACCAACCCAGACAACCTGAAACTAATGATGAACATGTTAAAGGAGAAGTCGCGCAACATACAGTTCGAAGCTTTCCATGTCTTTAAGGTATGATTTTTTTATGTATGTATGTTAAACTTTTGTAAGGTTTAGTGCAGATATACCAATATCAATTAATCACTTAAAATCAAAATGCATTTATTAAGTTTAAACTTTTACAAGGTTATGTGAAAGTAGAAAGCTACGGTATCGGTTCGCATATCGACGCCGGGAGGCCTTACACTGAGGAGGGCAAGGCATAGTCAATTGTATTAAATAAGTGAATTATACACCGTGAATTTATACCCGCGAAACTTAAAAATCGTGTAAAAAAACACAGTGCGAACACTACAACCCTATAAAAAAATATTAATATTGATAAATATATATATATATATATATATATATGATCTATATTGTTTACAAAATAACCTAAAAAGGGCGCAAATTTGTAAATAACATACGTATTATTGAATTATTAGTATGCCGTTAAAAGTATGCATATCCTTTGAAATAGCAATTATAACAATTGCAATTATTAAGGTTTCATAATAGGGTATTTGACAAGTTTTAGAAAACGATCTCACGTTATTGACTAATGTACTTATATAGTTTAACCGTTAAAACTGGATATTCATCATTCTGTTGTGTATTTCAGTAAAAATAACGAAATCGAAAACTCCATTTTCAAGTTGCCGCGAAAACGTTTCTCTGGACAATATGGCGTCTTATTAGTGTGTGACGTCACACGACTGTTATTAAAACGTCAAACGATACAATGTTATGTCACTTTAACCGGAAGATTACATGCGTGTGACGTCATTTTAGGCTCAGCCAATCCCAAGCGTTTTGGGCCATGTTACAATAGATAAGAAAACTATTATCTTTTTCGTGGGCAAAATTATGATTTTTTTTATAATAATAGTAAAAACCCCTGCCAATATTCATTCTAAACACAGATGCTAACAATAGGCACTTTATATTTAATACTGTCAAATACCCTATTGCAGTAATAGTCAGTTAAAGTCGAGACATTTTTCGAAAAAAATAATTTAAGGTTTTTTTACGGAAATATAATCTAAATCGTTTTCGGTATAGCTAGTAAAGTTTCTCAGGTTACTCAAAATTCACGGTGTATATACTTAAAGTATAAGTCATAAATGAATTCATAAAATATTTCTCTTGTTTACAGGTATTTGTAGCTAATCCAAATAAACCAAAACCAATTCTGGATATTCTATTACGGAATCAAGATAAGTTGGTAGACTTCCTCACTAAATTCCACACGGATCGTTCAGAGGACGAGCAATTCAATGATGAAAAAGCTTACCTTATAAAACAAATTAAAGAGCTAAAGCCAGTGGAACACTAACATTTATTGCATTTTGTAATCGCCACTTCCTCCTCGGAATGAAGTTAGTTATAGATGCTATTATATTTAAATGCTTCTAATCACCAGAGGGTGTCGCGGCGCCAGATTATAGGTACAGCATAAACAGGAATTCTAAATGGATTTACATTTTGGTCTGTGATGAGTCAGGGAAGAAAGTATATTTGTGCTACGAGCAAATTAACATTTTTAATAAAGAATTGTAGTAATTAGTGTTACATATGGTTTGACTTATATTTCGTAAGTTGTTAAAACCATTTTAGTTTATATGACGTGTTTAGTGACATTTCCGAAGTCACAATCGAAATATAATTTTGTCACATTAGCCTATTTGTTCCTTAAGTTTTAGCCTTTGGAAGACAAACAGTCATTTGAGATCTATAATATAAAATGAGTTTTGTTTAATATGTATATTTTTCTCTCTTTACATTCTAAATAATTGATAATAATTATTGATTGTTAAAAGTATTTTGTAATATAAAAGATTAAATTAAACTAACGGGAAAAATGTTATTGTGAGATTGTAGAGTAGGTTCTGATGACTTATGATCGTCGCTGACATCTTCTGAAAGTTATTTTTGTGATATCACAGTAAATCTGTATTCGTCTGTAAAAGCTTACGATATCGTTACAACCGACTGCAAACATCAAAGTTTATGAAGTGTTTTACTTACGGTATATTGAGAATATAACCTTAGAATATTTTCTGTTAAAATTGTATATAGACGGATCAGCGGAGACACAACATTTTATACGATAAACAGATTATCTTGCACAATAAAGAGTAATTTTATACAGCCTCAAATCGCAAAAACAACCTTCAGAACGTATCGTTCGTTAGTTATCGTTGCAATCATCTCTCTGAAGTTATTTTAATTTAACCTTATATTGACGAAGTAATTTATTGTATGTAATGTTCATTAAATAATTTATAATAATTTCCTTTTAAAAAGAAAATCTGTTGCAAAAATATGTCAGTGGAGTCGTTTATAAGTAAGTTCGCAAAATCACATAGCCGTTGTATTTTCATATTTAAAAAAATAAGTGTCTTTGTTGTCAAATTTTTGTACTATATTATATAAATGTATATTTTTTATTTTGTCACCATCATTATTGCAATTACATTCTGTCGAAACTGAATAAAAATAAGATATTTATATCATTTCGTTATTTATTTCCAAAGTTATCCAATCGCCCCAATTTATGATGTTCTTGTTGAACCTTCACACAGTATTTGTACAGTTCTTTATTCACCATGCAGTTCTTTCTTAAACACAATAATACACGCACTGTACATACAAGTTTTTAAATAATCGCACTTGACCACATATTTGATCGCCTTTGTATTCGTTCCGAGATCGCTGTTCCAACTGTCCACTGCACGACGCCGAACCGCCAATCGACGCATTCCAGAAAAGTAATAGGGAAGATGCAATATTTTTATTTTTGTTTTCATTTTAAAGAATTCCATTTAGAATAAACCACATATATATTAAAAAATTAAAACATTGTGATTTATCGGAAAAAATGCGGTTTTAAATTGACAATTTAAATTTTCGCGCGAAAACGAACCTATGGTTGCGATGACGTCACTCCTGTCTGTCACTGGTCGTAATTGTTCGTTGCTGACTTTAAATTTTCATACTTGTGCATATTTTTTCGACTTTCGAAATATTTTTTTGAAAAATTTAAAATGGACTATCCATCAACATCACGTGATCATAACAATACCACTAATATTCCGAAAAAAAGCCGTGTTGACTCATGTTTTGTGCCAATCTACTTCAACAAAGTTCCCAAATAAATTGTTTTTGACTGGAACTTCTGACCCAAAACTGAAAAAAAGTGGTTTCAAGCTGCGAACAGAAATGACAATTATTCTCCAAAGACCATTATTCGATGCTGAGAAGATCACTTTGACGTAAGTCGGCGAATATACTTGTTATATGCTTAATTAATCTGCTTGTACGTAAAAACGCATTAGTAAATAATGCGCCTAATACTTACAAAACCTGTCTATAACATATTTTTAATTTTACAGTTGGAGAATGACGTCGAAAATTAGATAAAGTTTAAAATGTGTAGCACAATCTTCACATTGGCAGGACTGAACCAAGCTTTGCGTTTCATTTAAAATAAGTGTAACACGATAACCTTCTTTACGTACTTTATGCTCCGGAGAACTCGACCTTTTACTGTACATAATTTTCCATCTCTTTTAATTTGGACATAGCCGATTGCATTATCACCGTAAGATTTGTAGAAGCCGCTGAATAAAATACAAAGTTTAACAACTACGATTTTTGCATACCGTAGTAATTTAGTCCCTTTCATTTCTACACTTAAAAACTCTGCACTTTGGACAAAAAAAAATGGTTGCCTGTAAAGTCGGTTTTACGGGCGAAGATTTTACGTGACAACGTCTTTTTCTCGGTAGAATATTTATTGATATGAATATAATTAAATTGCACAATAGGAACAAGGAATTGAATGAAAATAAGAATTGCACAAATTTTAACTATAGAAATATATTTTGTTTACTAAAACATTGTACATGTAAACTTAAACTTAACACGAGAGACTCATCGTAACGTTACCGAGCGTTACACTTTTTCATAAGTGACTCCCAGCCGCAACCTAATTTAAGACGTTGTCACGTCAAAAAGTTATAACCTTGTCAAAGCTAACTCTTGGTAAATTCCTGGAGTCTGCTTTGATAAACGCAACTTCCATTTTTATTAAATGTAAAAAAACGCAATAAATATTCCCATAAAATAATATTTACTTTAACAACCATAACCTCAAAGAAGTTGTCATAACAGGAGTGACGTCACTAAACGCTGATTGGTGTTTTAAAATACGTTCCGTTTCAAGTATTTTTAATTCGTAATAATTGTTAAAAAACAACATTATGTAAAATAAAAACGTTGCAGTGGCATTTCTTTTATATTTTTTTAACATTTTAATCATAAAATTTTCATAAATATTATATATGCATCTTCCCTAATTAGCACCGCCGAGTAGGTACGTAGTACCTAGTCATCCGAAGGTAAAGCGCATGAATTGTAAACAAGTGCAGACGTCGTTGCACTTTCACCTTTACGGCGCACTATACTATAGGCCTCATAATAGAATGAACCCCACCACTCGGCCTCAAGTCGCAGTTTTGGTTCGAGATCGTTTGTGACATATTTTTTTGAAGTATTTAACTGCTAGATATTAGAATCTGAAGAAAAAATTTACTAAAAAACATTACTGTGCCAGGTGCGGGTTCGAGTTCCGCCTAGCATCGCTGGCGCTGTCCGGGCGGCTGCACTGACCAATTATTCTACCGCGCGCGTGTTAAATTTCTTCTGTTCAGCCACTGCATCGCGCTACGTCGCCGCGTCGCGTAGCGCGTGAGCGCAGATTTTAACGTTGTATGCAAGTATCTCAGTTCGTATAGAAATCCCGCGTCCTACCACATACTGACCATGCGTCGGCACGCGGTGGCGCGTCACGCGTGCAGATTCTGCCAATCGGGCGTCCCGCGGGATATAATAGCGCAGTCCCTCGCGCATTTTTACCGACTGTAAAACAACCGATTTAAAACGTTTTAAACCACAAATAAATCGTTTTAAACGGTTGAAAACTGGCATACAAAAATAAAAGAACTAAGTATGTTTTTTACACTTCATTATGGTCATTTTTTTAAAATTTTGTACTAGTTTATTCACAGTCATCATAAATAACAAACCTCTATGATAAAGATACAAAAACTACATGCGAACGTACCGACAATCAGGAGGTCACTTTTAAAAGCACATTTTGACATATACAACAAGATACATAGAGATGTTATCTGTTAAAATTTGGTTAAAATGGGCTTGTGACCTGACTGTACATGATGTAGTTATTGTCAGCAGACTCCATCCATGCCCCAACCTACTACCTGTTGTATTCGCGCCTGAGAAGTGAGCGTGCGCGGCGCGGGCGGCCGGCGGCAGTTTAAATATATTGTGCATGCGTGTGTAGGGTAGGCGAGCTGGACACGTTTGCGTCGAGTAACGAGTTTGGTTTTAAACCGAATCAAATTGATTGAATTGATTTATATCGTTTGAAAACAATATTTGTTTTTATTTACTAACACAGAGTTTTTAACTTATGATAAGAGTTTTTATAACTTAGGTAGGTAATACCTATGCTTGGTCGCGGACCAACTAGAACTATACTCGCTAAGTATATCAATATCAGTAAGTATATCACACATTTAAAAAATCTTTATACAGTTTATAGGTACTCCGTTATATTCATACCTCGGTAAAATCAAGACAATGTAGTTATAATTAAGAAAAACATAGTCATCAACACCAACCGTTTTAAATCGAAAAAATGGTTTATTTCGGTTTTAAACGGTTTTTTTCGTTTTAAACGGATTGGTTTAATTGGTTTTAAACCGGCCTTACATCTATAGTCCCGACGCAATTAAGGCACAAAATTTTACTATCAGTAGTGGTATGATAATAGATGACGCTGATTTATTTCCGAATCGTGACCGGTTTTTGAAACCACTTGACCAAAAAACCCATGCACTTAGTAATCCTGTCGCGATGTACAAATAAATCAGCGCCATCTATTATTAGTAATGGTAGTTAAATTTCCTATAAAATCACATTTCCGTACGTCTGCGTGGCTTTAAATTGTAATAACTTATGATAGATTGCATAAATTGTAATAAAATAAAGATTAAATGTAACTTGCATATTTTAAGCCCGTTATGCAAAAACTCAAGAGCGAGTTACTTATAGCGGATCAGCACGGCGTGGCTGATCTCGGTAGATCGTGCATTCCATTGTGTCTATCCAGGCTGCACCTTTATATGAGTCGCTGAATTATATCAAAATCCCGTAGGTCCATGCTAAGTGAAGTATCAGATCATTGGATGGGTGACCTGATGGATGTTGATGGGAATCTTCTATCTCGTTCTTCCGTGCTTCGGAAGGCACGTTAAGCCGTTGTTCCCGGCTGCATCTGCAGTCGATAGCACCCGCCAATCCGCACTGGGCCTTCGTGGTGGGTCATGGCCTAATCTCCCTATTCCATCCATAGGGAAGGCCTATGCCCCCGCAGTGGGGACATTAATAGGCTAGTGACGATGACAAGTACGGAACTATAACGTATATTCTATATACAAAGAAATGTTTAGATTTCCGATTCTGAGAGCGCCGTCCGTAACATATACCTATGCCCTAGATTGCAGAAAATAAAAACTATAATCAGATGATTAATATACATTACTAGTGGCCCGCCCTCGCTTCGCTTCGATGTAGAGCTGTAGACAAAAATGACTCTTCACATAATTATAAAAAAAAATGAAAATGGTATATTTGCCTTTTCCAAACTTCTATCGACATCACGTCACTCAATTGTTTTGCCTTCCCGGAACCTCTCCACTAACATTTGAAATTGATGGTATGGTATTAAAGTTCAATTGATTTTTAAGTATTACTACGGAAGTATCGGAATATAGAAAAGTGTTGTTTTTGGACTTTTTCAGGCAATTTTTTTAACTTTTCTCTGCGTAAGAACCATCCTCGTACTTCAAGGAGTATTCTAAAAAAAGAATAATCGAAATCGGTTCTGCTGTTCTCGAAATTTGCGCTTAGCAACACATTCGGTGATTCATTTTTATATTATAGATTAGGATGCTTCCATAGTTACCATGTTATTTATGTACTGTGCGGTTGTATGGTTACTGTTTATAAACTAAATAGGGAAGGAAATGTTAAAATAAAATTAAAACCTGTAAGAAATTGGAACTTACCGCCTTATTCCAAAAAGCGGACTAAAGTTAGTCTTGATTTAAATCTAATGTTGTCTCCGTTTTCTTTTTAGCAAACACAAGTTACACCATCAGTTTAGTAAGGTTTAACTTTAGTCTACGTCTTGTAATAAGGCGGTTTATATTTACCTAACTATTTAAAACTATCATTCCAATTCAAAACCACACCTCCCACGTTCACATTATTTTACTGTTAAACCCTGGTCGAATCAGTCTACAAAAACTCAAAATACATTTGCAATACATACCTACCTTAAAAATACATTAGAAATTATGTTTAGAATTCACTTTAATTATGTTAGTCAACTTTTATCAAAAAAGTGCGTACGAACTTTAGTCTTCATATCCAAAGATTCAAATCTTTGTTCATATCAGTTCCTATTGCATTGACCAGTAAACTCCATTAAGCAGTCCTATAATCGTCTAACTTGTAGAACTATGAAAATCCAAAATTTTAAAGATATTTACAAATCTGACTGAACCGCATTGCAGCGGTTTAATTTCTCCGAAATTCGTCATTAAAAGCATGTAAATACCATTAAATATTTAAATTGAAAAAGTAAATGAAAAAGTGACATAACTTATCTCCATCTCAACTTGACTCGAACGAACGTGTTGGTAATAATAATAGTCGGAGTACTGACAAAAAATATAAGTACACTCCTACCTACGGAATAATAAATCGATTTATTTAAGTTTGTCAACTAATTATAGTGATTACATATCAACATACCTATTTATGAGTAGTAGCTATTTTATGTAATTTATTACACCTTAATTGAATGTTAACTTTCAAGCTGTTGTGTGCAGAACATACATCATGATTATGTAATCATTATATGCAATATCATAGAACGATAATATTAAATAAAATAAACTGGAGCAGCAGATCGGCCACATTGTCATCATTTATGAGGTAAAACAGGAATATGAAAAAATTCAAGCAGTTGTTTTTTTAAATGAAACATTTGAAGAAAAGTTAATTCACGTTTATTTTTATAAATAACATTAAATTTCTAGGTACATCTAAGATTTAGTACTATATGTACTGTTGTGAATTATCAAAATTTCAATAACTTTATTGGTAGGTACTAAAATTTGGCTTGAATTTCTAGATACACGCACATGCATGATAGCACTTTACGACTCGGCGGTTGTTATTATAATTTACAAAAATGTAGTAGTAGGTAATTCTAGATATTTTCTACAATATTTTGTTTATATAATGTTAAAGTTCATTTAAAAGTTATATAAATTTTGATTTGATTATATTATTGCCCCCATACAAAATAATTAGGGTTAACAATTCTCCTGATGCTATGTTGCTGTGAAATACTTAAATGATTTAACATCATTATTTCCATGATTACTCTGTATTAAAACAAAAAATTTCCTCAGTACATGTTGCGTTATGCCTAAAGTAGGTACCTATATAATCTTTATCAAAATTTTCATAATTCAAGTGAATATTTTGTTTATTTTCAAACACAAGTTGGAATACATAATTTCAACATAAATATATCAATGCTCTTATTTATAATAGTAATATTTGCATGAAAGAAATGCTATGAAGTTAGTTAAGCTCAAGAATTGGCAAAACTATATACACATTCTTTTATTTTCCTCAGGCCATAAGTGCGAAACTTTAAGAGATCAATAATATACATAAAACTCAAATTATTCACAGTCAATTTAAAACTACATTTAGGCAATTTAGATTCCTACAATATAATCATTTCTATTAAATTTGGTAGATCCAAGCCGCTTAAGTATTGATTACAGAGGATAAACCAAATGACTCATCACATCGCTAACCGCAGTGAATATACGACACAAATTGATACCAATAAATCATAGCTACATTGGTCATGAATGGCAGTGACAATGTGCTTGAACTGACCGTAAGTAACACTTTATTAGAGTTCGACTAAGATCTTGTGGCACTGAGGGGCCGTCCATTAATCATCTGATGTATTTTTTGTCATTTTTAACCTCCCTCCCCCTTGGTGATACATGGTGAAGTTTAAGACGTTTAGGGGTGGACAGAAAGTTTGCAGATTGTTTTTGACTGACATAAAAATTATGAAGGAAATGCGAAAAGCTTTTTTGTACTTATACATGAACATTGAATGTACAGTATCCATGGACCACGGAAATACACGTGATATAGTACTACCCCCCCCCCCCCCCTTGTGATATTTCGTGATTTTTTCTAGACCCCTCAACCCCCTTTCGAGCCTCGCGTGATTAATGAACAGCCCCTAAAGAGAAGGTTATAATTTACAATAGCCCGGAAAGAGTAATAGGAAATAGAAAAGGATTATACAGGGTGTCCCAAAAAGTAGTGTCAAGCGGTAGTCCCGGGATAGAACATCCCTTGGGGAATCCGAAACACCCCCATGTATGTTCCGCGATTTTTTATAGTTCGCGAGTTATGATTTTTTTACTAAAATTTTGAGAATTAATGACCTAAACAACTTAAAAATTTAATAAAATAAATTGGATAAGTCTTTTCCGAGATATTTTTTTTGCAACTCAATTTAGATAGATAGATAGTTAGATAAATCATTTATTCCCATCAGTACAGCACACAAATTCAAGTAAAAAAATAGAACAATTAATTACTAGGTATGTAACTGTGTCCCGCAACGACAGAAAAAGGCAAAAACTCAGCGATACCTTTGCTCTAAGAGCAAAGCACTGGTTTTCAGTTCTGCCTAGAAAGCGCGTAACGTGAAACGACATCGACGTGACGTGATTAATTTATTATTAGGAGAATTAAATTAGATTATATTTTTATTAAATTAAAAAGATTATTAAATTATTATTGATAAGTTATTATAATATAACTATATATAATGGTATCATTCACCAAAAATTATTAATTATTACTGTTGTTATTACTTTTTAGTATTTAGATTAATATTGAATTTCTGAATTAATATTTACCCATCAGAATTTAACACACACAAATTGTGACACACCTATTAGAAAGTGGTAGAAACCGCCACCATACGACCACATGTGGTTATTCCCAACCTTTGCATTTCTAGTAAAATTAATTTTAAATGTTTTTTAAATGTTTGGCGCGATATGATCCTCCTTAGTGGAGGTGGAATGTTGTTCCAGCACCTGGTCGCCTGATAGCGGAAACTAACCTTAAACGCCTGCGTTTTATGATTCTGAGTCGATAAAGGTGGCTTTGCCTGTCTTGGTTGCCTGTCAGCGTCATAACGTAGTGTCGCAGTAGGGAATTTTAATTTCTCATAACTAATAATAACTTGGACTCTTGAATTTCATGATGTCAAACATTCTGCTAGATGTAAACGCCTACGCGATTCCATATTCAACATCGAACTTTACATGAATTGTACTTAAATGACTAATACCTTTGTCTTTGTAACTATGATGGAAGTTTAAAAAATGATGGTGCAAAGTGAAAAAATTATGGTCAGTGAATTATGTCTTAAGATTTCAACTTAAATTTAAAATCTTAATAGGTAGTTTCATGGCTCCTAAGTAAGTTTAAACTGCGCCAAACTCTCAGCTTTCATAATCATTTAAAAAAAGTAGTACTTAAAGGGCTACTTTTGCTAAAATCGGACTTCAAAGACAGTGAGGTGGAAAAATATTAAAATTAGCGAATTTGGTATCGAAGTTTTTTTTTTGGCATTTTATCATTCCTAAAGTTAATTAGATTGTTAATTAATCGGAAATGGTTGCAAAAAAGCTAAGATTCTACCATTTTTAAGTTCAATTTAAAGTTTAAAAGAAGATTTTTTGAACTCGCTGTATTGTGTGATACCTAAAAATTAAATTTAGTTACAAAAATAAAATCTTTAAAAAGGGAAAGCTAAATGAAACAAAAAGTAACTGCTATTTATTATTTATTACAAAAAGTTTTCAAAATGTCTCCTTTCCTGCTCAATGCACCTGCACCTTCTAAAAAAGTTTTCTTTTAGCTGAATAAACGCTATTCTGTTATTTTTTAGTCAGGTGTGGATTTTCGACGTTCCATGAGTGATAATTGTGGATGTTAAAAATCCCACACCTTTTAAAGTGTGATTCATCGGTCCACAAGATAATCCAAATGTTAACATCTTAGCGTTCTTGCAATAAATTTTGGTTAGTTAACAATCTAATTAACTTTAGGAATGATGAAAAAACTTCGATACCAAATCGCTAATTTTAAGATTTTTCCACCTCACTGTTTTTGAAGTCCGATTTTAGCAAAAGTAGCCCTTTAAGTACTACTTTTTTTAAATGATTATGGAAGCTGAGAGTTTGGCGCAGTTTTTAAACTTACTTAGGAGCTATGAAACTACCTATTAAGATTTTAAATTTAAAGTTGAAATCTTAAGACATAATTCACTGACCATAATTTTTGCACTTTGCACCATCATTTTTTAAACTTCCATCATAGTTACAAAGACAAAGGTATTAGTCATTTAAGTACAATTCATATAAATTGAGTTGCAAAAAAAATATCTCTGAAAAGACTTATCCAATTTTTTTTATTAAATTTTCAAGTTGTTTAGGTCATTAATTCTCAAAATTTTAGTAAAAAATTCATAACTCGCGAACTATAAAAAATCGCGGAACATACATGGGGGTATTTCGGATTCCCCAAGGGGTGTTCTATCCCGGGACTACCGCTTGACACTACTTTTTGGGACACCCTGTACACCTTCATCTATAAACGAAATGCTTATTTATACCTTTCTTAGCTCTGATTTGAGCCAATCGCCACAAGATCTTGAACACGCTGTATATTGATTATAAAAGAACCCTCCATGTAAAAAAAATACCAAGTAATAAATTACGGGGCGTTGACACGAAAATCTATAAATCATTATTTGAGAAAACTTTTAACTCACAATCAATTAGCGACAGTAAATTGTCAATAATGAGTTGAGCTAATTCATTCTTTATACTTAAAGTAAAATATGGTGATACGAAACTAAAGAGAGGTCTCAATAATTCGGGATATTTTTGCCATAAAAAGAGCTTTCGTGATTTGATTAAACATTTCATTCTGTTCCAAAAGCGCAATCATATTTTTTTTGAATAGTCATGTAAATTTTCGTATATAATTATTTATAGTTTCTCGTGATGACTTATTATATTACTGTTTCTTATGCTTTTTACATTTACACATTTATAAAACGCATTATCTTAATTTTAAATGACAATTGACGTATGACCACACTCTGTCTTGTGACCACGGAGCAACTTCATTCCGTATCGTTCACTATCGTGTCAAATTACAGCTCACTTCATACCGAACACATCATTGAAACATCGCTACAAAGAAGTTTAATAATAAAATAGGAGTCGCGCTACGGAGAAAGCGCACTTACCTGTCATTTAATGCACTTATAACTAGTGGTTGCCCGCGACTACGTCCGCGTGAAAACATAGGTTTCCCATACAAAATTCCTTTCCCCGTTTTCACCCTTTTTCAGGAGTATTTATGTCCTTTACTGGGACTCAAACTATCCAAATACTAATGCAGGCAGTCCTCGTACTTACGGCATGTTAGGTTCTCGAAATACGCGACGTAAAGCGAAACGATGTAAGTCGAGACATTCCCACGAACGCCAGCCCCACGGACATTGACCTCGCGTCAAGTGAATTCTCCAGTGCCGGAAATCGAAACAATTGACGTATGCTTGAGGAATAGTGTCAAAACATTGTTCGACGTAAGTCGAGGACTGCCTGTACCAAATTCTATCGAAATTATATTAGCGGTTTAAGCGTGAATAGGTAACAGACAGACAGACACAATTTTGCAATTATAATATTAGTATGGTATCATAATACGCCAGCTGATTAGGTAATATTATATTAGTATGGATTCATAGCGCTAACTAGCTTATTTGGTTTGCATTTAACTCATTATTATGAGTTGCCCCGTGTTGTTTGCATACACTAGCCCCTGGCCCGGCTGGGGGGCCCAACGGAGGCAGTTCAAACTTGTGAATCCATGCTCCCAATTCTGTTCCATCTCTTTTATAGGCAGCAAGCCGGATCGCCTCGGATTTTCTGCAAAAGTATAGTTGTAATTCAGTTTTTAGTAAAGAGGCGTTGTTTCATCGATAGTTACATTTGACTACACATAGTCAAATCCTATAGAAAACAAATAACCATTTGTCAAAATTTGCCATATTTACTGGGTATTTGACGTGTCATTAACTATAGGCAAATTTAACTATGGATGAATCAACGCAGCCTTATATTTGGTTGTATTGTTGTTATGCATTACAGTGAGACTTATAAGTTGCAATGGGAGTGACAGTATAGTATAAACAAAATCTCATGTGCCGTAAATCATTTTGTCATAGAGATGCACACGTGCGATTTTAGAGTAAATGCAATGTGTGAGTCATTGCTGCTGCCGTATCGTTTAACGCCTTAGTATTGCCTATACACCCAATTGAGTTAACATGGGTTTTAAGTGAAAGGAGAAGTCGCAGCTAAAATAATACTTTAAACAATACCACATTACTGACGATAAATACCGTCCATCTCTATGTTGTTGTGACGTCACCCATAAAAAGTGTAAGTGCAAGAGAGAACATGAGATGCGCTGTCTCATTTGCACGTTTCATTGCATCGCCTGCCACAAGTTTTTGTTAATAATATAGTAGGGATTTTATAATAATTATCATAGCTACCTTCCAGCTCCATGATCAGAATCTGGTTATTCTGTGGGATCAAAGACCTAGTCAAAACTTTGTTTTGGGACAACAAATAAATACTTACTATTATTATTAAATATTTCATATTGTAGCTCCACCAGGATCCGGCAAGTGCGTCCAATTCAACTTACAAGACTTGACTACCAACAGAGGGAGCCAACTAAGTATATACTCCAGCTTACATGACTGCATATTTAATTACTTCTTGTAGTCGATATGAACCTCTATGGGAAAGATAATATCGTGATATAAAGTGTTAGGCTGGACGCACGTGCATGGCTTCCTGATCAGTACTGAATTACTGATTCGGAATTCCGTGAGCCTAGCGCAGACGATTCACTTTTTTATTAGTCCGAATCGAACGCTTTGAGACGGCGGTCACATTCACATGCAACTAGCGGGTCTAGCTTGAAGAACAGCGCGAACACGTTGCTCCGGCCGTGCGGCGTAGTGGTGAACCGTTGCGAGCCGAGCCCGACGGCGAAGTAGCGCGACTCAGCCCTAACAATGCCATGTGCGAGCGAGACACAGACAGCGGTCACAGTCACACGCACCTAGCGGGTCCAGCTTGAAGAGCAGCACGAACACTTTGCTCCGGCCGTGCGGCGTGGTGGTGGACCGTCGCGAGCCGAGCCCGACGGCGAAGTGGTGCGACTCTGCTCTAACACTGCCGTGTGCGAGCGAGACACACAGACGGCGGTCACAGTCACACGCACCTAGCGGGTCCAGCTTGAAGAGCAGCACGAACACTTTGCTCCGGCCGTGCGGCGTGGTGGTGGACCGTCGCGAGCCGAGCCCGACGGCGAAGTGGTGCGACTCTGCTCTAACACTGCCGTGTGCGAGCGAGACACACAGACGGCGGTCACAGTCACACGCACCTACCTGGTCCAGCTTGAAGAGCAGCACGAACACTTTGCTCCGGCCGTGCGGCGTGGTGGTGAACCGTCGCGAGCCGAGCCCGACGGCAAAGTGGTGCGACTCTGCTCTAACACTGCCGTGTGTGAGCGAGACACACAGACGGCGGTCACAGCCACACGCACCTAGCGGGTCCAGCTTGAAGAGCAGCACGAACACGTTGCTCCGGCCGTGCGGCGTGGTGGTGAACCGTCGCGAGCCGAGCCCGACGGCGAAGTGGTGCGACTCTGCTCTAACACTGCCGTGTGCGAGCGAGACACACAGACGGCGGTCACAGTCACACGCACCTAGCGGGTCCAGCTTGAAGAGCAGCACGAACACTTTGCTCCGGCCGTGCGGCGTGGTGGTGAACCGTCGCGAGCCGAGCCCGACGGCGAAGTGGTGCGACTCTGCTCTAACACTGCCGTGTGCGAGCGAGACACACAGACGGCGGTCACAGCCACACGCACCTAGCGGGTTCAGCTCGAAGAGTAGCGCGAACACGTTGCTCCGGCCGTGCGGTGTGGTGGTGAACCGACGAGAGCTGAGCCCGACGGCGAGGTGGCGCGACTCTGCTCTAACATTGCCGTGTGCGAGCGAGATATACAGACGGCGGTCACAGTCACACGCACCTAGCGGGTCCAGCTTGAAGAGCAGCGCGAACACGTTGCTCCGGTCGAGCGGCGTGGTGATGAACCGTCGCGAGCCGAGCCCGACGGCGAAGTGGCGCGACTCTGCTCTAACACTAATGTTTGCGAGCGAGACACACAAACGGCGGTCACAGTCACACGCACCTAGCGGGTCCAGCTTGAAGAGCAGCGTGAACACGTTGCTCCGACCGTGCGGCGTGGTGGTGAACCGACGAGAGCTGAGCCCGACGGCGAGGTGGCGCGACTCTGCTCTAACATTGCTGTGTGCGAGCGAGACACACAGACGGCGGTCACAGTCACACGTACCTAGCGGGTCCAGCTTGAAGAGCAGCGCGAACACGTTGCTCCGGCCGTGCGGCGTGGTGGTGAACCGACGAGAGCTGTGTTCGATGGCGAGGTGGCGCGACTCTGCTCTAACACTGCTGTGTGCGAGCGAGACACACAGACGGCGGTCACAGTCACACGCACCTAGCGGGTCCAGCTTGAAGAGCAGCGCGAACACGTTGCTCCGGCCGTGCGGTGTGGTGGTGAACCGACGAGAGCTGAGCCCGACGGCGAGGTGGCGCGACTCTGCTCTAACACTGCTGTGTGCGAGCGAGACACACAGACGGCGGTCACAGTCACACGCACCTAGCGGGTCCAGCTTGAAGAGCAGCGCGAACACGTTGCTCCGGCCGTGCGGCGTGGTGGTGAACCGACGAGAGCTGAGCCCGACGGCGAGGTGGCGCGACTCTGCTCTAACACTGCTGTGTGCGAGCGAGACACACAGACGGCGGTCACAGTCACACGCACCTAGCGGGTCCAGCTTGAAGAGCAGCGCGAACACGTTGCTCCGGCCGTGCGGCGTGGTGGTGAACCGACGAGAGCTGAGTCCGACGGCGAGGTGGCGCGACTCTGCTCTAACACTGCCGTGTACGAGCGAGACACACAGACGGCGTTTAAAGTCACACGTACCTAGCGGGTCCAGCTTGAAGAGCAGCGCGAACACGTTGCTCCGGCCGTGCGGCGTGGTGGTGAACCGACGCGAGCCCAGCCCGACGGCGAGGTGGCGCGACGTCGGCGACAGCGCCACGGATACCGCGCTCTGCTCTAACACAGCTGTGTGCAGACACTGTCCTAGCCGCGACCACTCCAGCGAGTATACCCCTGCGGCCAAGCAAATTACTCATCATCGATAGGTACAAGTAGACTCACAATCGAGCTCAAAATGTGGGAAGCAAAAGTACGCACACGCATTGCATCAATGTGTCTCTTTAAAGTAACAAAAAAATCTATCGTCATTTTTTCATTTTTTTTTTATTTTTTGGGTCAACTAACAGTTTTACAAAATAATTTCTTAAAAATAATAACAATAACATTGTTTAGGTAATTAAGCACGATCGCAACCGAAAGTCCAAAAAAAACAATTTTTGATTTCCGTGCGAGTTTCGAAAATTTGCGGCATAATATCGGCTATATCTTTTGATTGCTTTGGCTTAGAAGTTTGATTTTTTCACAGCAAGGGACAGTAGACATGAGTATTAGATATGAATATCCGTTTGATACCTCGCGTTCCTGAGAAATATAAACGGACGGACGAACGGACAACAAAGTGATCCTATAAGGGTTCCGTTTTTCCTTTTGAGGTACGGAACCCTAAAAAGGAGATCGACTCACCAAGCCAATGATTAGTGTTCCTCAGTCTTGGTACGGGCAGGAGCGCCACCAGAAGTCTACCGTCCTTTGATATGTCAATGCTGGCGTCGTTGTGGATGCGGCACTTTTGCACGACAACATTCTTCGTACCTGACAAAAATAAAATATCATGAAATTTACAAACAAAATAATAGTTAAGAATACTTAAATTTTTCGAATGATAAAAAGGACATAAAACCAGCTAACTTAATATATGACATGAAAATACGGAATATTAAACTAAACAAACAAAACAGGTCAAATATTTATCTCAACTATTTATATAGATAAAGGTATTTATCATCATCATATAGGTACTATAAACAGAAAAAAAATCTCCAACCAAAATCTCAACTTAAAGGTTGGCCATTAGTACTCACCGCCCCCGTTCGCAGGGCAAACACTGACTAATCATTCATTACATACAAAGTTCACTACAACAACAACAACACAATCTTACTTGGAAGGTATATAACAAATATCTAACTGTCAGCGATGTCGGGCACGTCCCCCGTGGTGAAGTCCCAGGCCTGAACTCGGTGGGACGGAGCCGGGAGAGCTTCGGATATGATCCCGGCGTCTAGTAGACCGGCCATGCCGCTCATGCGACGCGGCCCGCCCGCACCCGGCCCTGGTCCACCGCCGCCCCCGCTACCATTACCGCTTCCCCCGCCACCGCCCCCTTCAGGCCCGGCGTCGTCATCCACTAACATGGCGTTCTGAAAACCAAAGTGACACTCAGAAATCAGAAATCAATATATCTTTATTTAAATTGGATGTATAGTACAACTCTTTTGAATCGTCCAAATTTAATTTCCCTACCACTACACGTTATTGGACATATTTTTTAGCTGCGGAGAAAAAAGAGCGAAAAAAACTCCACAACATTAAAAGTATATAGACCAGGGTCGATAATTTTTGAGACCAAAAAAAATTATAGTAGGATGAAACCCATTACAAAAGGTAGAGAATATAACAAAAATGAAAGGAAAAATAAATTACGAGCGATCTGAGGTCGGGAAGGGGGAGGGGGTGAGTTTTTAAGGGTAAAAAATGGTTAATCTCGATTTCCGGTAAAACTACAAGTCCTATGAAAAAAAGTTAAATGGCAAAGTTATAGGTAATAAAAAGATCTACAACTTGTGTATCGACACTTTTTTCACATAACCTCAAACTTTATGTGAAAAATGCGAATAACCGAGTTTTTGGTTTTTGATTTTTATTTTTTGCAAAAAAAATGTTCTCAGAAACTGCAAATTAATAATGAAAAAAACTCCAATCCGAAAAATTGATTTGAATCATTATGTATAATTTTCAACTATTTATTAAAATTTACACTTTAATTACTCGAAAAACGTAAGATTTCATGTTATATTACAAATCCATAAAACATGCATAAATAGTTGTTGTAAGTAGGTATTAAAAATAGGATTTTCGGATTCGAGTTTTTTTCATTATTAATTTGCATTTTCTGAGAACATTTATCATAGTAGTGTATATTTTTTTTATACCATCAGAAAGTAGAGATTTCAACAAACAAAAAACAAACTTTTTTAAAAAAGCAGATATTTTGACGTGAGAATTTTCGTTTGAAAATTAGGGTGCTTTTTGGATATTAAGTCAAAATAAGGTGAAAATATGAATATTTTAAATAATAAAAATTACTGTATGTTTGGGACATACAAAGGTAAGTTTTCACCAAATTTCGTGAAAAAAATTTTTTTTTGCAAAAAATAAAAATCAAGAACCAAAAACTCGGTTATTCGCATTTTTCACATAAATTTTGAGGTTATGTGAAAAAAGTGTCCATACAAAAGTTGTAGATCTTTTTATTACCTACAACTTTGCCATTTAACTTTTTTTCATAGGACTTGCAGTTTTACCGGAAATCGAGATTAACCATTTTTTACCCTTAAAAACTCACCCCCTCCCCCTTCCCGACCTCAGATCGCCCGTAATTAATTTTTCCTTTCATTTTTGTTATATTCTCTACCTTTTCTAATAGGTTTCATCCTACTATATTTTTTTTTCACTTTTCACCATTTTTAAAATTATCGACCCTGGTCTAATAATGTAGCAACATTTACAAATCATTATGTTGTTACAACCCCAATACAATCATTATTTGTTTAATATAGAAAACCTGTTGGAATGATTGGAACAGTTCAAACCCAAGCATTTTTGTCTGTAATATAATCAGACACTTTGTAATAAGCTTCTTCAATAAGTGCTTTTTTATACTAGTGTTTCTGATGAGAGGGAGGTTAGACAGGCAAGTTTTTCTGCCGCATCAACTGTCTTTGTAGTACAGCTACGGTAAGATATGAACTCAAAGGTGCTCAAAATCAAGTGAAGTAATGTTCTCTGGGCATCGTATTAAAATATAAGAGTATTTAGTATTAGCGGCCGCTCGCACCTTCGTCCACGTTAACTTTAGTTTTTTGAGAATCCCTCAGGAATCTAATATAATTTTAGTATTTGTGTAATATTTTACCTGTGCAAGAATGATAGGCTGCAAGTACTCGTGAATGCGTGGTAGCCTCTGTTGTTGGTTTCCAGGAGAGTCAGGACTTAAGGTAAGATCATTCATTGGCATCAGCGGCATGGCAACATTATTTAAAACTGTGTGGAATTGCTCAGGTTCCTCCGATGCTCTGTTTGCAGATTCACTGCGAGAGGTCAAAATATGAGGCCGATATGTAGCAAACGGACGACGATTACCTAACTCAGATCCATTCTGATGCGGAGTTCTATTTCCGGGTGGGTTACTATCAGTGTTATTCGTTTGGAAAGCGAACATCTCTCTTACAGATGATGGCGTGTATAGACGTATTGTTTGTAATCGGCGAAATCTATTCCGAGCAGCATTTCTCAACCTAATCGCCTGCATATGAGCTATTCTAAATAAATTTACCCTATGCTCAAACTCATTTATGACTTCAGACCTAGGAGAATCTGGATTAGGATTTTCAATCGAGGGAGATCCCGTTGACGGGCCTGCTACTGGTTCGTCATTGGGTTCGGGCCTTCGATTAATTGTACTAGTTTTAGTAATTTTATTTTTAGCGGCCCACGAACGCAAAGCTGGTATTCTATACGTTGACACTGGAGGTAAAACTCTTTTCTTAATTAATGGATGAGCGACCGGATTGGTCCTGTGCAATGCTTTTTGACGTCTTGTTTCTATATATAAATCTCGTCTGGTTCTAGCAGTAATAGAATTATTTCTGTTCGCAGCAGCTATCTGCACTGCAAGACGATTGCTCCATCTTTGTATATTGGTAGCAGATGAAGTGGACGCCTCACAATGCATTTCAGTTTCTACCGGAACTTGTGGAACAGTTACGTTTTCAGTTAAGTTTTGACCAGTCCGAATATTGGTCAAGCGTTCATTTTCAAGATCGTTAGGAATATGTGGTGAGGAAGTTTCATCTGGTTCATCTACATTAACAGGGCCAGGATGTTCAACGTTTTCAATACGAACTACGTTCATTGAATCCACGCGTTGCGGGGGTGCTGTGTTATTATTGGCCCTATTGTTATTTCTATTTGTCATTAACATAAGACCCGTAAGAGCTAATGCTTTTTTAAGAGTTCGCAACATATTTATAATGAGTTGACTTAGACCTCGTTCTTTTAGGCACATCATCATAGTTTTGAACATTACAGATAGTACCTGCATTGCTCGCATTCGAATTTCTAGACGAGTAGCACTAAATTCTATAGCACGTGCAAAATCTCTTCGTGACCTATTAGAGTAACGGGGAGCCCATCGATTTGAACTAGGGTTTCTTGAACGACGACGAATTTCATCTTCCGGCCTCCATCTATAACTAGATTGTAATCTTCTGCGCAAGGACGCTGAAGATCGAATTCCAGTTGATCTAGTTAGCGGAGATCTACCTCTGTGCAACGGTCTTAATTCGTTGGCATTATCTGTAGTGGTATTAATTTCACCTTCTGGAGGATTAGATCTATCTGCCGATTCATTTTGGTTGTCTTCTGCTGGTCTATCACTTTCTTCGTTTCTTGCATTATTTCTAGTAGGTCTATTAGTCCTTGTTATATTATCCGACATTTCAATCAGCATCATGCATCGTTCTAAAAATGATCTTGTGTAACTGGGTAAATCCTGCCTACCTGTTTCTCTATGTAACGTTAATATACGCCTTCTTAAATTTTCCCACATAGTTCGCAATTCTCTCATACTGACAGGATTACCTCGTAACCACATATTTGTGAGTTGTATAGTATGTTTCTGTAAAGCCACTACACCACCTCTTACTTTTCTATAGGCTTCATCTGGAGGGATTGTACCACTTCTTGGCGATGAATTATCACGACTTGTCGACGGTCGGTCAGGATTGAATTCAGAAGTATTTTGAGATCGATCGTCTGTTAAATCTTGTGCTCTTGCAGATGCACTAGTAGATGGCTGCGGATCGTCAGTTGCAGAGCTATTTTGGGTTCTGACACGGAACCTACTGTTTGCCTGATTGACTGATACATTGATTCTATTTGTTTCGCGGGGTTCTTGTTCTGTACGGGCCTCTTCAAGAAGTTCAAAAACCATACGATCAGTGGGTTGAGATACTTTATCATTATTTGAAGTACTGGTGGATGGCTCACCCTCTCTAGTTTCCCCTTCCTGAAAAGTAGTATTCCGTGTTCTAAAAATATTAACTTCCAGTGACTGATCGCTATCCGAATCCGAACTGGAAGAAAAAAGATCTCGAAAATTGGAGCTGAAAAGTCTTACACGAGGGCGTATTCCTCGTGATCGATTAGTGCCTTCACCATCATCAGAGTGAGCTCGGGAGCCAGCGCCTCGACGAGGTATGTTGCGTTCAACACTTGCTAGTGTCGATAGCGACATATTAGTTATCAAATTTAACAATCGAGTGCCAGAGTCCCTTAATATATCTCGAATCAAGTTAAGACTTTCATTAATAGTTTGATTCATTGGAGCAGCTACAGGGCTCATCTGAGTTGATGAATTAGTCATTGTCGGCCTCTGGGTATTTGTCCGAGAAGTTGAAGGTAGATTTTCAAGTATTGAGCTTGAGAGGATTGACAATGGACGCGCTGTCGAAGTTGAAGCGCCATCGTTATTAACGTTTGTGGAACTGCTACTTCTACTCAAATTAGAAGTGTGTTGTGATGGAGAAGAATTTCGTCTGCGTCTAGAAAAGTCTCTATTTAAAGGCTCTGGACGAGACGAAGTAAATATGCTAGTACGCGAAGTATTCATATTTGGGTTTCTAGGGGAGGTTCGAGAATTTTCAGAAAATGAATTTCTATTTGCTTGTGGGAGGACATTAGAAGTCGAAAATGGATTGGGTAAAAGTCTTGTTGTACGTTCACTTTGGTCAACTGGTCTAAATGCTCTACCAGACTCGGTCAACGGTTGAAATGCGGATGATCTGGAACCAAAATTGGAATGTTCTTGAGGCTGGACCTCTTCATTCCTAAAACAGAAATAAACATTTTACCAATATAAAAATTATTACTATTTAAAAAAAACATTTCTGAAGTTTTTAATGTCAGAAATGAAAATTAATGTATATTGTAAGAAAGTAGAAAATACCTATTGGGATTGCTGTCAAATGATAAAACGTCGAGATTAAGTAAGCGGCTACTGTTTCCTTCAGTGTCTGGATTATCTTGAGCTACATCTTGACGGTGAGACGGACCTGGTGTTGGATCTCCTGTAGACGAGAACATAGATGTACTATGTAGATAAGAGAAAACAAAGAATAATTTATACCTTGATTTGAAGAGATGTCATTCTATCTAAAGATTAATGGATGGATACCTTGATCCAATGTCGTTGTAGAAGTAGAAGGTCGAGCCATACGTGTCCAGGTAGACGGACCAGGCGTAAAATCTGTTTCCATTGGGTCCGTTCCTCTGTCAATCTGAAATTTAAAAATAGATTACACTATCGCTAATACAAAAATATTGACATATTAGATAAACCAAAATAAGTACCATGTTTGGTGGATTTGGGTTATTGATGAGTCGATGCCGCACCATAAACAGTCGCTGATAATTTCTGACCAAACTATCGTATCTTTGAACTAAGTTTTGGTAAGAGTTAACAATCATATCCTGAGCAGATCCTGGATTTTCTTGAGGCCTATTAGAGCTACTGGGATTGTCATCAAAGTCATCCCTACTATTATTATTAGTGGTGTTAGGAGGACCCCAAGTACCATTAGGTTGTAGCACGGTAGGAGGCCCACCACTTGTGCTGGACGAAAGAGATATGCCCGTTATAAGTTTATAACCAAGAGCATCAAACGCAACATAACTGAAAAACAAATAAATATTATTCAAAAAAACATTTTTATAACACAAACCATGTCTTTTGTAATAGTAACATACCGAACTTTCTCATTGATGTTATTAGTTGATACTTTATTAAAAGGGGCCGGTTGACTCCAATCCCAGAAGTAAAGTTCATTATATGTTGCAATCACCAATAGCTGTTCACGAGGGTGAAAAGCTATGGACGCAATCACCGTCTCATTTCTTACGCTCCATACTTCACTACCACCCTATAATTAGATATTAATTAATCTATTCCGTGTGATGGTTATTAATAAAAGTAGGGTTTTTTTTTTAAATATATACTTACACTAGATATATCCCATACTCTGACTTGTCCTCCAAGACAACCAGAACCTATTAGTTGTGGATGTGAAGGATGGAATGCGATGCACCAGGGTGTTCGAGGGTGGCCCTTCAATATTCTCACATGTTTGCCACTTGCAAGCTCCGAAACATACACATTGTGATTTCCATGAGTAGAAGCCACTTTTGTTCTATAAAAATAACATACTTGAATATAATTCCTTTTTTAATGACATCGGCCTTGCTTTTTAACTTTCCAACAAGAACTATACTATTTGGAATATCACACAGACTAAGTCAAACTTTGCGATACTATCACTTTCTGCAAATAGTGATACCATGTGTTGCCAAATTAGGCTGGCCTTACACAGTCTTAGCAAAGGGGATTATTACGTCGGAAAGAGAATAAATTATGAAGATAACACAAATTATTTATTTTGATCTTTATATCTTTTCAACATCAGAACCCTCACTAGATAGTATAAAATAAATCGTTAATACTATGCAACGGGCTTTGATGCCATTTTTGGTTCAAGAGGATGGTTTATATGTAAAATATATGCATATTCCTAATATAGTAGAGAAACACTGATAAATTTAGAGATATCTATAGTGATGTCTTAAATAAACACATTTTTTGCGCTTACATTGCAAACGCTGGCTGAATCCTACAAAATAGATCAAAGTAATGTACTACAATATTGGTCACCTTAAAAGGTCTACAAAATGTCCGCAATGGTAATGTCTATCTGTTAGGGATAACATACAATAACTTTTTTTTGTCCTCAACTTTTTATGAGAGATAAAGGCTTATTTACGAAACGATTTTAAACAATACAGCATTAATCTTTATCCAGTTAAGTACCTTAAATGCCTTGTGCTTTTAATATAGACCAATATGGCTATTTACAGCATGTAATTTAAATGAATATTTTCGAAGATAATACAGATTTAAAACGTAGGGATATAGCGGTCGCGGCGGTACTGGCGGCCGTGCCTATAAATAGCGCGTCGAAGGCCGCGCTTCGCATGGAATCGCTTCGAAGCCGGGGTGGGTCGCTACTATATAGATAAAAAGGGCGGTTGTTAAGACCTATTCTAGACGGATGTAATCCATCGTACCAAACAAGGTGAGCTTGCCCGTTGCCATCCATCTAGATGAAGGATGTAATCCAAATTTTGATTTGACCTTCAACGTCCTTGGATTACGGGCGCGTGTTTACATCCGCGGTTGGAGCGCGTGGATTACAACCGTTTGGCCGGCGGATTACACCCAACAAAGACAGTTGCGCTGTGGCAGACAGCGGGTTAGTAATAACGTACGCATGTAAAAAATGTCCGAAGACCAGAGTCGCGAACGCGCTATTACTAGCGAACTAATTGATCTCTATAGAGATCTCCCATGCTTATGGGACATTACGACGGAATCATATAAAGATGCTCGGCAAAAAAAAATGCGTGGGAGATTTTACTCGAAAAGTATAGGGAGTTGGACATAAGCTTGAATGGCTAAGAATCTTTCGCTCTTTTAACCTACGCTTCATCCACTTTCTCTTTTTGTGTTGTTTTTCGTCGTCTATTGCACACATAACTCCTAAGGTAATGCCCACTTTTTGAAATTTAGACAAATTTGGAGCCATTTCTACAACACGGTTACTGTAAGTAACACCGGCCATACACACTACGAGAAATCGTTACGATCAGACTGTACAGTTCGAACGGTACCGATAAATCGTAGCGTGTATGTTATAAAACTGCACAGTTTTCTATACGTATGCCACGTCCGATAAACTGTTCCGTTCGAACTGTACAGTCTGATCGTAACGATTTCTCGTAGTGTGTATGGCTAGCATTACTAATACAGTCCGCGCATGATACAAGTGCATACGTGTTTTTACGCCAGAAGACGGCTCGCGATTGCGTGTTGACGCGTGGATTACATCCGTGTAGCCGAAAATCATAACGCGGATGAAAACCAACTTCCCAACAAAGTCACGTTGGTTGGTACGCTGGATTACATCCGTCTAGAATAGGCCTAAATATCTAACGGAGTACATCCCTGAAATAAGCTTAAACGCGATAAAGAATGTGTTTACAAAAATGAAAAATGGTAAAACCTTGGCGAATAACATATAATATACCTACAGAATATCTAAATTATGGTGGCAAACCAGTGTTGAAGCAACTGTTAGTGCTTTTGAATAAAGCCTTGTTCGAAGAAACTGAGTCCGGTGACGTGAATGATCATGTACAGTCGTAATTTTGCAAGAAGGTTGTGGAATAAATATAGCTATTAAATGGCAATTGCTCAATTACATGTACAAGCTTTTCATCAAAATAATCAATAAAATAATCAATCTGCACCTTACTGTTTATTCATGTATTTACAGAAGACAGGTTAAGGAAAAATGAATATAATCTAGTAATTGTCGTATAGACCAGGGTCGATAATTTTAAAAATGGTAAAAATTGAAAAAAAATTATAGTAGGATGAAACCCATTGGAAAAGGTAGAGAATATAACAAAAGTTAAAGGAAAAATAAATTACGGGCGATCTGAGGTCGGGAAGGGGGAGGGGGTGAGAGTTTAAGGGTAAAAACCGGTTAATCTCGATTTCCGGGAAAACTGAAAGTCCTATGAAAAAAAGTTAAATGGCAAAGTTGTAGGTAATAAAAAGATCTACAACTTTTGTATCGACACTTTTTTCACATAACCTCAAAATTTATGTGAAAAATTCGAATAACCGAGTTTTTGGATTTTTATTTTATTTTATGCAAAAAAAATTTTTTTTAACGAGATTTAGTGAACACTTACCTTTGTATGTCCCAAACATACAGCATTTTTTTTTATTTAAAATATTAATTTTTTCACCTTATTTTGACTTAATATCGAAAAAGCACCCTTATTTTCGTATAAAAACGTAAGATTTCATGTTATATTGATAAACAGAAAAATTACAAATCCATAAAACATGCAAAAATAGTTGTTGTAAGTAGGTATTAAAAATAGGATTTTCGGATTCGAGTTATTATCATTATTAATTTGTAGTTTCTGAGAACATTTACCATAGTAGTGTATATTGTTTTTTATACCATCAAAGAGTAGAGATTTCAACAAACAAAAAACACACCACCTTTTTTATAAAAGCAGATATTTTGACGTGAGAATTTTCGATTGAAAATTAGGGTGCTTTTTCGATATTAAGTCAAAATAAGGTGAAAAAATGAATATTTTAAATCAAAAAAATTACTGTATGTTTGGGACATACAAAGGTAAGTTTTCACTAAGTTTCGTGAAAGATTTTTTTTTTGCAAGAAATAAAAAACTAAAAACTAGGTTATTCGAATTTTTCACATAGATTTTGAGGTTATGTGAAAAAAGTGTCGATACAAAAGTTGTACATCTTTTTATTACCTACAACTTTGCCATTTAACTTTTTTTCATAGGACTTTCAGTTTTCCCGGAAATCGAGATTAACCGGTTTTTACCCTTAAACACTCACCCCCTCCCCCTTCCCGACCTCAGATCGCCCGTAATTTATTTTTCCTTTCATTTTTGTTATATTCTCTACCTTTTCCAATGGGTTTCATCCTACTATATTTTTTTTTGGTCTCAAAAATTATCGACCCTGGTCTAGTAGATTTTGTCAACTACGAAAAATCTTTTGACACTGTGGAACACTGGGCCTTCATTATGACAAAATCTATTGACACTGTGGAACACTGGGCCTTCATTAATGCAAGAGTCGAGTAGATACAATGTACTAAAACAGATTGCAGCCACATTTCAACAAAAACTCCATGATTTTTGGGATCACATTCCGGTATAGAGACGTGTACGACAAGGAGATATCACCTTACCGACGCTGTTTATGGTATGTCTGGTTAAGTTGGTTAAGTTAATAAACAATTTTTTTTATTTGAACTACGCGAATTTTAGGTTTCCTTAGCTGTCCATCACAAAGCGCATATCGCAAACTTATAGGTAGTATTTCGGCATGTCTGACCAGCATCCCAGCGCTTACTTAGCTGTGACTTTTCTTTTTAACTTCATCATCTATGCTGTGTTATTTCTTTTCTCATATCCAGAACTAACATAACACTGTCAGAGGGGGCGAGTGAGAAAATTGTACGTCACCTTCACATAAGGCTCATTACGCACTAGCGATTGGCCGCCTAGGTGGTTCATTTCAGGTCAGCCGTAATGAAACCGCGTTAAGCGGTTGGGCCGCTCGAAGGGGCGTTTTAAATAAATTGAAACGAGCCTCGTTCATTTACACTTAGTAGTTTACCCGAATTTCATTGGCAATCGTATTTGGGCTAACAACCAAGTGTAATTGAGCCATTATGTCACGTTATGATAATGTTACATGAGACAAGTTATTTTAACGTGCCGCGGTGTGTGTGAGGCTTGGTCAAGGGGTTTCTTTGACCCCCTCTGACACCCCGACTCCTCTCAACCTCCCCTGACCTGCTAAACCCACCTAATCAAGTAATAAGAGTTCTTTCGAGCTAAGCTGTGGATTGAAAGGTGGATGGATGACAGGATGGCTGGTCATGGCGAAACAATGGTTACTTGGTGACTACAGAACCCTTAAAAGATGGCGTTTTTTAAGCTGCCTGGTGATCAGTAAGAACAAGAAAAATTTACTGCCTGACATAGTGAAAAAAAACTAAGTACATTGTATTTATGTCCTTAACATTAATCTGTTAAAATATAACTAGAGCTTTCATTCAGAATCATTTAAATATTACTTTTATTTACATTTAATAGAGTGAATTATAAGTATAGAGAGTAATAATTATAATAGAGTGAACTTATTGAAGGTGATATGTAACCCAAATGATAATTGTTTTATTGATTATCAATACAGGTATAACCTTATTTGAATTAAAATTAAGCACAGTTAAAAGTATAATTAAGAGGTTTAAGCAAAAAGCAACCAACAGCTATTTTTGATGCCAATGAAAATTTGTTCTATGTACTCATGGTAACGTGTAATTGTGAAAGCAGAAAGACTCCATCAATCATTTTTTAATTCAAACACACCCAATTAATTTATAACATAAGGTAGTAAAAGAAATTTTTGCTTGCTTCAAAAATACTTTCTCATCGCTTTTTGCTTAACACTGCTCAATTATTATAAAGATAGGTTTCAGTGAAAACAGAATAAAAATGTGTCACAAAATATAGAAGTATTTTATAAAAAACAAAGATTGGGACTGTGGTAGAAGCAGCTTGCTTTCTTTCTCGCACTTGTGTTACTTATGCAATCTTGGGTACAATTCAGACTTACCCATCAGGACTGAAGACCATTAGAAATGTTGATCTTGGATAGCCCGGTAAGTCACAACACTAGAAAAAAGAAAAACATTTGGTTATACTTTTAATAAACACTAAGAGTAAAGAAAAATCTTTGTGTAGTAATAATTTCAACTTACTCTAATTTTAAGGGGTTTCCGAACAAGAATATCTTCAGCCATGTTTTCAAGTACAGTTTTGTTGGACTGTGCATGAGGTGGGTTAATGCCATACTCCCTCCACTGCCAACTTCGTGCAACATTTCCAACATTCTGAGCTTCATGAATTGGAATGTTCTTGTAACCAAGCCACTCATTATCTATTACTGGATCCATTCTACTGTAAATATTTACACATATGATTGGATGACTTAGGCAGTTCAGTTGAACTTGCAATAAACATAATATAGTTTTTGACAAATGAGTAAATGAAATGGTTGAACTGAAAATTAAATAGGCACAATAAAAATGCTACCCTTTGTAATGCAAATATGTATTACTAGGATAGTATTCCAGTGAAAAATGCATAAATAACAAAAATAATTCTGAAAATAAAAGCAATATTATTATTATTAAGGAGCTCACTGTGAATGCAGATACCAGAAACAAAATAATTATGTTTTATGATATGTTATTCAAATTGGAACTTTGATGTTATGATTGGACTTCACTCAGTAGGAAGTTAGGTATTTCTATGTTAAAGTTACACCAAGACTAAATAGTAAGCCATATTGGAAAATGTCAACAGGTTATCCAATCACACATTTTAGAGCTGAGCACATCGGTAAATGTTACTGTCAGTATCCCAAAATTATTAATATAGTACTTACAAATTTTAAGCAGAAAATCTGCAGAAATTAATCTTACTCTTACTTAATACGCGATTTATTTCATAGACGGCAAATACCTTGTTCATCTTGCGAAATATGTTATATTTTGGCAGGAAAGATTCAAAATACTAGAAATATTGGTAGCTGATTATACATCAGCGGATTTTAAAGGTGAGATACACTTTATTTTAAGAAAATTATCAATAGAAACAATGCAACAAACACACAGCTGCAAGCTTCATTTGACATCTGCTGTCGCTGTCAGACTGTCAGCTAATGTCATATCCATTTTTTGTATTTTATTCTTCCTTATTGGGAAAGTCAAAGGCAAAGCCATGCAGCCATCGTCTTAATTTAGAACATGGATGTGACGCATTCTAATGTTTCTTGGAGTATTTGACAGGAAATGTATAGAGTTCCAAGCACGAATTTTTGACAGCTCCTTAAAGTATCGTCATTATCAAATTTTGTATTATATGGGATAAGCTAGTTTGTTCTCAATCCGATAGGAGTACTGCTTAGTTTTCATATAAACTTTGACGAGGCACAGGGCCGGATTTAGAGGTGTGGGGCCCCGAAGGCCACGCAGGACTGGAGGCTTCTTTGCACCTTCACCCCCTCGTTTTCTAAATTTGGTTGTGGGGGGGCCCGCTTTTGTGGGAGCACCTGGGCTGTGGCCCCGTCTGCCCTGCCTTAAATTCTGCCCTGACGATGCGATACGTTAGGAATCTGTAAAAAAATTGTTCTCGAGCCTCAGCTTTCTCGATAAGCTTCTGTGAGGTAGTCAACACTACAGTAAAGTTCTCAAGTGCACTTTACTTGTGGGAGCACCTGGGCTGTGGCCCCGTATGCCCTGCCTTAAATTCTGCCCTGACGATGCGATACGTTAGGTATCTGTAAAAAAATTGTTCTCAAGCCTCAGCTTTCTCGATAAGCTTCTGTGAGGTAGTCAACACTACAGTAAAGTTCTCAAGTGCACTTTACTATTAATAACGTATATTTTAATGATTCCATTAATTGTTCAGTTGCGTAGACCTTTGTACCACAAAATCACATCAACTTTATTTTACAATATCCATTGTGAATGAATTAAATAATGATTCAAAAATAACGCCCACCGAAATCGATGAAATAGCGCTATAATGCGGCCAAAATCAGAACTAATTTTAGGAAGGTATAAATAAGCCTTTTATTTATAGAGGATGGAGTCATTGCGGTCATGACCTTCACACCCCCCCCTCCCCCGGGACGGAGTCTAGGACCAAGGTAGACCACTAATTTAAATTGTTAACATAACGTTTTTGTATATTTGTTTTTCACAATATAGATTTATGTAAGTTTTATCAATAATTAATTAATTTAATATAATACGTACTTATATCTTCGTGCATCGCATCTGAAATTAGAATTTTACCGCGCAGCCGCTATTTTTCGTCTGAAGGCACATTTCGTGAAACTTGCGTGCATCTCCACGTCCATAAAAACGCACATGAACGTCAAGATGACGGGATCCCGCCAAGTTTTTCGAATATAATGTGATTAGGATTTAATGCAGAATTTCTGCTATTTTATACTTTTATAGAAAAATTCTACACTCACAAAAATGGTTCCGCTATTTTTATATCAAAATGATAACAGTCAATTAATGAAAAACACATGGCGTGATCTTAATAGACTACAGGCCCATGGTAAAAATTGATGGGTCATTTGAACCACCAGAAGACTTATTTAGAAAGATAGAAGGACATTAAATAATAAGATTCAGCACTTTGCCGTCACTTGTAAGCTGTCCAACTGAGTGCAGGTGAGAATTCAAAAGTACAGATAGAGGGAGTACATTTTGGTCATATATTTTTGTACGGCATTCATACCATCGATATATTCATGAAAAATAATAAGAAAACACGTAGTGCCCTACAAAAATAGTGCACCACAAAGTCGTGAAAATTTTTGATGTTCCGATTATTTTCAGGGTAAATTTTTAGTCATTTGATTCTGTACGGCATCGGTTACGAACAGTTTTAATACCTCTTCTAATTCACTATTTCACAATGCCATACAAAAATCATCTGTTGCAACTCCCTCCCCTTCCATGGTCCGCGGGGTAATTTGAAAAAGTACGGTTCCAATACATTATGTAGCACTCAAAAGTACTATTAAAAATAATGCCTTCAAAAATTATTATTAATTTATAAAGCTGTAAGGTCATTTGATCATGTACGGCAACTCTTTTTAAACATGATATTGCTAAATATAATACTCCTGTTAAGGGGCCGTTCAAGTATTACGTAAGCAGATTTATTACAATTATTTACCCCCTCCTCCCCCTTGTCAGTAAAATTAAGCAAAGCTCTTACCCCTCCCCCTCATGCTTACGTAAACATTCATAATCATAATCAAAATCATTTATTCAGTTTAGGCTGTTACAAGCACTCATGAATGTCTAGAAGCTACGCCATCGGTTCGTAAATCTACGGCGGGAGACCTTGTACTGAGAAGAACCGGCAAGAAACTCAGCAAGGGCTGTTTTTTTCTCCCTATTTTATTATTTACAGAGTCGTTAAATTGAAAAATGACTTCAGAGGTGATTCATGAAGTCACTTTTCATTACATAATTATTAAATATACATTAATTGTTTACCTGCATTTTGATTGCTGTGTCATACAGTATAAATACAAATAGTGTTATTTATATTCAGTGTGACTAAACGTTAACTTCAATATTAAGGAAGTTAGGGCAGTCTCATCTCCGCTGGCAGCACCCGTTCACGAGCATGACGCATGAACCAGCCATCGCTTCGCTCAACCATATTTTAGGGAACGGAACGACCCGCCTCACACGACACCGCTGAAGAGACTATTATGAGAGCATGACTACCCATAACTATCCATACTAACTACAACATATTTACTTAAATTAAGGTCATTTACCTGTAAGACACAACAAACAGTTACAAAAACAAAGCAAAGGAGAAATCACGACCACGCCGTTTTGTCAATCAAATATTCTTAAACAGTCTGATAATCTTCCTTAAGTTATCAACTTTATAGTATTGTCAACACATAATTCATAATTTAAATCATATAGAAATACCCGTTGGAAAGGTTGGAACAGTTCATACCCAAGCATTTTTGTCTGTAATATAATCAGACACTTTATAATATGCTTTCTTAACTAGTGATTTTTTTAATGGTCGATTTAAATTTAATCATACTTAACTCTTGAATATTGCTTGGAACTTTATTGTAAAAGCGAACACTAAGACCTCTAAACGAATTATTGATTTTGTGGAGCCTAGTAGCAGGTAAAGTTATTTTTATTTCTAGTATTATATGTATGTATTTCACTATTTTTAGTAAACAAATTAATATTTTTTTTTTACAATTACTAAGTTGTCATATATGTATTGTGATGCAACTGTCAATATACCTATTTCTTTAAACTTAATGAATCCTTAACTTTAAGATTATACATTGATCGAATAGCCCTCTTCTGCAGCACAAATATAGTTTGAATGTCGGCGGCATTTCCCCACAGTAAAATACCGTAAGACATTACACTATGAAAATAACTAAAGTAGACTAATCTGGCAGTTTCTATATCCGTTAACTGCCGTATTTTCATTACAGCATATGCTGCAGAACTAAGTCTCTTCGACAATCCATCAATATATGGGCCCCACTGCAGCTTAGAATCTAGTGTGATTCCTAAGAACACTGTGGTATCTACAGAGCTCATATGTCGATCCTTTATATTTACATTAGTTTTTACCTGTTTGACATTAGGTAATACAAATTTCAAACACTTAGTTTTCCCTTCATTTAGCATCAAATTATTGACATTGAACCAGTGGACTACCTTCGAAATAGACCTGTTCACGTCATCAATTTGTGACTCCCTACGTTTAATTTTAAACAAAAGTGAAGTGTCATCCGCAAACAATACTATTTCGTGGTTATCCTTTACAAAATAGGGCAAGTCATTGATATAAATTAAAAATAAGAAAGGACCAAGGATTGAGCCCTGCGGAACTCCCATCTTAACCGACGAACTAGGAGATTTTACTCCATTGATGTCAACCCTCTGAACCCTATCACTCAAATAAGATACAATAAGATCCAGAGTGGTATCTCTAAATCCATAGTGGTGAAGTTTCCTGATCAATGTTTCATGAAAAACGCAATCAAAAGCCTTTGAAAGGTCACAAAATACACCTAATGCATCTTGCGAGTTCTCCCAGGCATCAAAAATTTGCTGTACAAGCTCAACACCGGCATCGGTTGTTGAGCGACCCCTTGTGAAACCAAATTGTTTACTATGAAGAATGTTATTACTATAAAAATATGATTTCATTTGATCTAGCATAATTTTTTCAAAAATCTTACTAAAGGTGGGTAACACGGATATAGGTCTAAAGTTTGTGGGGTCAGATGTGCTACCCGATTTATGTAATGGAGTTATTTTACTGTGTTTCATTAAACATCCACGGAGTTACCCCACAGATCCGCAGTTTTCTTTTTATTTAATTGGTTGAAATATTTTATTACATCTTTACAGTTAACATACTTAAATTTAAATTGACTAGTATATTGTTTTGTGTGTTCTTTTAATATTGATTCAGCAGCAATGGGGGAGGAGTTCAAAGATTTTGTAGTTGAAACTGGAATATCAGTGAAAAAGTTCTCAAATGCTGTAGCAACTTCAACATCTGATGTAACATTTCTATGTTCAATGTTTAAATTAAAACTAGTATTTCGAGTTTTAGATTTTCCAGTTTCATTGTTTATAATGTTCCAAGTCATTTTGATTTTGTCATTACTATTCTTAATCTTACTACTTAAATAATTTGATTTTGCTGTACGACATACTTTTTTAAATAACTTTGAATAATTACGTACGTACTCTTTGAAACTTTCACTAGTATTAATGCTGCGTTCATTGTAAAGTTCATAAAGTTTCCTTCTACTTTTATGTATGCCTGGGGTGGCCCACTCGCTGAAAGTTACTGCATCACTAACACATATGGTTTTAGGAACAAAGACATCATTAAATTCTTTACAAAAATTATTAAAAAAATCATTATACATATCATTTGGACTACTTTTATACTTTAAATAACTCAAATTCCTATCTAATTGAATTTTATAGACTACTGGACTTGTTTTTTTCTTTTCAGTTTTTATTTGAAGTATAATTAAGCAGTCGGGTTTTTTGATTTTTTAAATTTACCTTTTTATAGACGATTGCATCAAATACAAATAAAC